CTCCAAAATAAAAACTTTAAAATGCAGCATGTTCATTCAATTTCCTTTTGTAACAACAGTAAATTTTACATGTACATGTTCGTTAAATTTCTCTCTTGAAAACAGTAATATATATATATATATAAAGTGTAGAGAGACCTGGCGTTTGAGATCAAATTGTCCCAGAATAGCCTCAGCCACCTTGAGTGTTTTGTCAATGTTCTCGTGTGCTCTCCTTATCGAGTGCGTTCTCAGCTAAAAGCAATCCACAAACCCAAAATTAACCAAATCAGCTAAAATTTCATTAAAATCATACAAACCTACATGCAATAGTTCGTTCCTAGTGTTGGGTAAAATTTCATATCCATAGATGGAAAGAAAGCAAAGAAATACCTGGGTGGGTCGCATGGCGGTTTCGAGGGCGGAGAGGCGGTGGTCGAAGGAGCCGAGAATGGTGACCATATTATCGGTAACAGATTGGCTTTTCTGCATTGATTCTCTCATCAATTCCGCTCTTTCTCTTAGTGTTTCCATTTCCACTACGTTTATGTGCTTCTCTTTATCTATATTTATCAATCATTCTTCATCATGCATGAGTTTATGTGATTAATCAAATGGGGGGAATGGTGAATGGGAAGGGGAAATTGGATCGGGAAAGAGGAGAATAACTAAATGAACGGTTTGTTTGGTGCGTGTTTTTCCTTATACTTTATATAGGCTTCTGCTGTTTAATTATTTATTAGTATATATTAGGTGGGTCCCCTTTCTTGTCACGCGACCGTCACGTGACTTAGGAATATTGTCTCTCAAATTTTTGTTTTCAATTTTTTTTCTTGGGTGTTCTCTTGCATATTTTGGAATAATGTTATTTGCATTCACTCATTACTGTAGTCGTCCTATGTGACACGTGTGTGATGATTAGTAATTTAATATACGTGACAAGAAAAATACCACATTAATACATCAAATTATAAACTGTCATGTAAGAAATTACATATGACAACTACCGCAATGAGCAACTATAAATAGCATTATTCTATTTTTTTACACCACGACATATCAATTGTTAATATAAACGAAAAGGAGTCATTTCAAATGCAATATATATAGAGCTTGTTTGGTAGAGATTTTGATAATTGATTTTTTGACCGTTAGAGATAAAGTGGGTTCTACTTGTGAGAGAAGAATTCAAAATGACGACTGAAATAGTGAATTAACAGTCAAAAAATTGATTTTAATTGGCTTTTAATCCGTAACAAACAAGCACATAATGTATCGTGTTAACATCTTCAAATTTACTAACAAGAATCAATGTGTTGAAGTGTTAATGAAAATTTAAATACGATACAATCCACTGAAACTCTAATATTTTGTTTGAAAATGTAAATATTACAATACTAGTTAGCGTCAAAAAACTAAATAAATAAATAAATAAAATGTTAACAATATTATTGATGAACTCTACGAGTTATATATCCTACTATCATTGAGAAAAACGGACGAATCTTATATATAATTATGGACAAGATGATGATGATGATGGCGTAAGAAAAAAACTTGAGCACTACTTTCGTCAATCAATTCAAATATCCTACGGCTCGTCTTCACGAGCTCTTTTCTAACTTCTATTAAAAAGGGCAACAAGGCACCACTATAGATTGAACAGTAAAGTAATCACATTCTACTGTATGCCCCCCCCCCCTTTTTTTACTCACGTCCATTTTACTATAGCTCTACTCGGCCATGCCTTTTCAACTTCACGTAACCATCCCCGTTTCTCCATTTACACGTGCAACTTCATCATCTCCATTACCATAACCTAGCATCCTCTCTCTTTCTTACTTTGTACTAACCTGGTTTGGTATTGTTTGTGGAGCTCCAATATCTCTCGTTCGAGTCCTAAAAATAAAAAAAAAACTTTGGAACACAAAATGTAAATTGCTATGCATTTGGTTCGACTTCTTCTTCAGACCTTGTCAGGTACAATTTATATGTTTGCGAATATTAAGCCTTTGTTTTTTCGTCATTCTTTGATTTTTTGAATCTTTATATTACATAATACAGATATAATGTAGAATTAAAGGTTTTGAAATACTCTAAACGAGAATGCGGTTGAAGGGGTATATCAATCTAAATATCTCTTTCTACTCTCATTTCTTCTCCAATAAAATCTTTGCTGCTTCCAATTTTCCTTTATGTAACATGAAATGGGCTTACATGATTAGTAGTGTTTTCTTCTAATTTTTTTTATGAAATTGATTTAGGTTTTGTTCAAAGTTGTATTGAAAATACATATTTTCCTTTCGAGCAGAAGCAGAGTGAGTGAGTTTGTTGCAAAGTTGAATGAATTCTATTTCTTTATTTTGCAGAGAGGTAGTTTTTGGGAATTGGTCAAGTTCTCTCTCTCTCTCTCTCTCTCTCTCTCTCTCTCTTCTGTTTTTTATTTAATGAATTTTGTTTAGATATGTGTAGGATTTTCAAGTTTCTTAATTGTCCTTGCTAGCTTTCATCTTCCTATTGATTATACATTATTGCTCATCTTTCTATAGAAAGTTGATTTTTTCTGCTAAAATAATTATCAGTTGTACGTGGATGTGTTTCTTGTTTAGGCTTTATAATTAATTATTTTCTTGGAAAGTATTAGTGCGATCTTAGTTTAGTTGGCAAAATTGATGTTAATTTGGTGAATTCATTTTTGTTGGAATACCGAGCATTTAGTCTTGCTAATTTCATGGTTGGTTCACACTTCTTGTTTCATAAATGTAATATAACTTTTTTCTATCTTCATTGGTACTTTCATCTGCAACCATTCTATTGTAGATGCTAGCTTAATAAATAACAAAAAAAATCATCTTCGCACTATGTGGAGAGTTTTCTTCATGGAGAGACTCCCTATGTGTGGAAACTCCGCACATTTTGTGTGTGGAGTCTTCCCATGTGCGGAGACTCCTCTCTACACATTTGTGCGGAGAAGTTACTCGGCATGCCACACTGCAACCTTTTTTTTTTTTTTTTTTGGCTAGAGATCATTCAACCTAATATTTGTCTATAATAATTGAAATTTGCCTTCTACAATTTTTTTAGTATGTTATTTTATTAACTTAAGAATATGTATTAAAGTGAAAGATTACTATTATGATATGATATAAAATTACAACATTCAATTTTCTTTATTTTTTATAAAGTGATTTAGAAATTTAATATAAAATAAATTTTATATTTTTATAAAAAACTGTAAATCTAATAAAAAATATAATTAAAAGAATAAGTTTAACTTCAATATAATATATAAAAAAAAAACTCTCAAAAATAAAAAGGAAAGAATCATTGCAATGCTAAACAAAAAAAAGAATCTAAACATAATAATAAGAAGAAGAAGAAGACAAAAAATAAAAAAGTAAGTGAAAGAAAACTAACCCGTGAAAAAGAAAAAGAAAGAATGTTGACAAACAATAACAACAAAAGGAAGCTGCAAAATTTAACTACAATTATTGTTCAAATTATCAATTTCCAGAAAGAAAAACAATTGAAAGAAAGCTGAAATAAATGAATAGTGAAATATATTATTGATTGCACTATACATACTTTACCACTGAAATATAAAAACTTTTGCAGTGATTTTTGATTTTTTCCAAAAACACTCACGTAATTGTTACAATCATTTACTATTTCATCTAATTCTTCAGTAGGTTAAGCCTCTGTTTGTTTCTCATTATTTGCCCATTAAAATGAAAAATATGATTGTTATCCATCACATTAAACCTCCATATTTGACTTTCTATTTCTTGTATGACTGTAACGGTTATATTTTTCATTCTATTTTTACATTATTGTGGGTCAAACGGGGCCTAAGAGTATAGATTTATTGTTTGGTGTTGAGATTTTTTTAAATAATCATAATAAATCTTCTTGTTATACTAATAAAATTAGAATAATTTTTTTTTACAAATAACATAAAAAAATAAAATCAATATCATCTTCAACAAAAAAATACATTTAACCACTCTTCTTTTTTCTTTTTCTTTTTTCTTTTTAAATTCCCGAAGCAAGAAATACAATTATATAAAAAGAAGACAATATTGAATTACAACATTTAGTAATTAAGAAATTCAATTTTAAATATATTTATACATTTATAACAAATTATAAATCAAGTCGATATTTTCTTTTGCATTAATAAAAGAATATAATTAATTGAATATGTCTAATTTAAAAAAAAAACATATTCTAAAAAAAAGTCACTACAATCCAGATGAATGAACAAATATAATACAAAAGAAAAAAACAAAAAAAAATTAATAATAATAAACCGTGAAAAACAAAAGTAACATATGGAAAAAAAAAATGTTGTCACAGAATCCAAAGAAAATACATGCCAAAAGTAAAATGTCAGAAATGTATCACTTTTTATTCTTTCATTATTTCATTTAAACCCTTTCATTTCTCAAATTTCACCTATTCCATCTTCCATTTCAAGTTACTACAGTTACAAACCAAAGATAGTTTTGTTTGATTTAAGTTTTACTTAGATTGGAAGTTTAATGCTTATCTATTAATAAAAATATCTCTACTTAACTAAACTATATTTGTTATATTTAATAACATCCATTTGAAAACTTGAATGTGTAAAATCATTTGATGATTTTTCAAGATTTGAAACTTTCAATTCTACATATTTTACGTTTTACTATGTATATATAATTAGTTGATATAATAATATTATAATTAATGAAATTTTATCTATAATTTTCTTTTATCCAATTTCATCAACTACGCGTTATTTTCTACACTATAGATTTTGCCTCCTCGAAAAAATCAGTGAAGAAAGTAAGTTTATAGGAGATAAATATATCAGAAGAAAAAAACCCAGATTTCTTTGACAATGTATTCACAAAATTACAAGTTTTTTTCTCATGCTTGTGACCTTTTTAATTTTGAAGTAATTATTTCACTCAACCTAAATTTGTGTTGTTACTGCTAAATTTGTGTTTTTTTCGTCACTAATCCTTATCATGTCAGACATGAATGTACCACATTTGTTTCTTTTGAATTGTTGACACTTCTTTAAACCATAACATTCGACTGGTAAGTCTTATTATAATGCTTATACTTTCTTAAAACTAATAAAATCATACGTCAGCTAAAAATTCTTTTATTTTTCATTGTATAGTTGCTTCCAAGATCTTTTTTTGAATCAAGACATGAACTTGCCAACAGAATACATCTGGATATGATGGTATAATTGCTACCATACAACTAGAAATAGTTGACAATGAGATTTATCTAACTGGTGGATGGGAACTATTTTTCAACCATCACAATTTACAAGATGGTTATGTTATTGTGTTTGAATATATTGGAAATTCCACCTTCAAAGTTTCAATATTTGACGCTTCACGGTTAGAAGTAACTTATGATACATATCATTCCGACCCTGAAGTTGTTAAAAAAGAGACATTCTATACAGGAAATCCTGTCTTTAGGCTAACATTCAGATATAATGACAATTGCAAAATTGTAAGTTTTCTTTTACTCATGTTTCCACAATTTTAAATTCCCGTTTTCTCCTATTTTTATTTTACTTTTTAGTATGTACCTTTAAGATTCAATGGAGAACATCTACCCAAATTTATACGAAGTGTTCGAATCCATGACTCTTCGCATCGCAACTGGACTGTTTCTATGAGTTTGACAACAAATGGTGACATAAGATGTTTCACTACAGGTTGGTCACAATATGACATAGAGAAACAGCTTCAAATACGTGACACATACGTGTTTGAGCATTTGAGCTGCTATAACGAACTCCTAATGTTCATGGTGCACAAAGTATGCAATGATGGATTCATTACTTGTTTATAAATTAATTTATTGTTATTCTGTAATAAACTTTGTGCTGAATGTTCAATTTTCCAATGCAAGTATTTTCCAACTTATTCAGACTTACACAAAATTTAGAAACGTAATCTTCAAGTTCACTTCAATCATATCTACACTATCAAATATTGAATGTCAACAATACAAGCAAAATAGTTTGTGTAACCTCATATATTTCTTATTCAAACATATTTTTTCTAGATATGACAAAATACAGTTATGAAATTGTAGAAACCAGTAATAATTTACAATTATTTTTTTATGTTATGAAAACGTTTCTAGATATTGCTTCAAAAACATTCCAAAAAACTAAAATTATACGCTAATAAAAATACAATAAATATAAAATTCGTGCAACGCGCGGGACAGTGACTAGTTGTTTAAAAAAATACCAAATGGGTTGAGGGAAATCATTTGATAGGCCTAGAGATGGCCCGAACTGGGTTAGAAACTAAGCGATTATCGAGTCATTTACACACAGATGAAACGACACCGCTTTTCTATTATTCTTCCAATTCACGCATTCTTTGTAGAAGGCATTCTTATTCACACTCTTTGACAACATCGGGTGCGAATTCAAATCCAAAATTGAGTCCATGTACAATCCCAGATTGAATCAGGTCTCTCCATTAGTATCTGATAATTATTCTTCTGGACCTTCCGATTCTGTAGTCGATCGTTTAAATTCTCCATCTCCGTTTGCGTAATCAAATTCGAAAATGGCGCCATTTGGTTACGATAGAGCAAAATTAAATTCTCCAGTTCTAGTTCCTGTTCCGGTTCTGGTGTGTAGTCATATTCCGACAAGAAATCGGCAAACTCCAGTCCATTCATTCTAACCTTTCGGTTTCTTGGTTTTCGTAATCTTTAAGCAGTAATCCTTTTCGTCGAATATAAACGTAAAATTAACCTTGCCAGTAATCAAAATTCTCCTACGATTCTTGAGCTTCGAATTTCTCTTCTAGTCAGCGAGATAAATAGAGATTTGATTCGGTGGGATACCGATCTTGTGGCTCAACATCAACTAAAACGACTTATACTGCATCGCTTGCAACGATATTTACGCTCCTTATATTCATCTCCCTCTCCCCATCAAAAAAACACCATAGGAAATGCCGTTTCGCCGCCTACATCTACCATAATTTCCTACCAAATTCTACCAAAAACAAAGAAGAAAAACGAAAAGAACATATATCACCACTCCGATACTTAAGTTAGAAAGAGAATTTACGCGTAAGGCTATGAATTGGGAATAATGAAGAACGTACCTGAATAATGAGTCTTGGTCATGTATTTATAGGTGTTGGTGGTAGAGTTGTAGAATGATTTAACCACCTGCAATCCTTATCCTCATTGCGTTAGGTACTTGTGTTATATTTAAAGTGTATTGTTTGTGTTTGAATCAGACTGCGATAAATTAGCGATGAAGATAAGGGTCACTGGAAGTCATAGTCAAAGTAGGATTCCTACTATCTAGAAAGCAGGAGGGAAAACTGTTCTAATCGACATACGGCCGGATGTTAATGTTCAGGCCTGACCTCGATGGGAGCTCGACCTTAGGGTTAATGGAATTATGGGAAGATAAGGTCGGGCCATTAAGATCGAGTTCGGGGGTATTAATGTTTTGAGTCATCATATATATAGGGGTGGATATGCAATGGGGTTTAAGGGGGATAGTCTGGGAATAATAAGGAGTGGGGGCAATTTTGGAATAGAGAATGAAAAATGCATAATTCGTGTAGCGGGAGAAAGGGATGGTGATATAATATGCTTTCCGTTAAAGAATTCAAGTAAAAAATATGTGTGCCCAGAGTCCAAAGGGAAATATTTTTCTCTTGGATAAATAGCACAAAACGTCTCTATATTTGACATTTATTGCGAAAAATATCCATACATTTCATTTTTTACATTTTTGTCCTTATTTCAACTTTTTATTGCAGAAAACGTCTTTTTAATTATTTTTAATATAAAATGACCAAAATACCCTCTATTTAAATGAAACAAAAAAAATTACAATCTTATTCCTAAATATTTTAAAAAGTGTAAGTAAATACAAATAATTATTAAAAAGCCTAATAGCACAAAATGTCCTTACGTTTGGCCTATAGTGTGCAAAACAGTCCTACGTTTCAAATTGGAGAAATTAACGTTTTCCGCAATGAAACTTGGAAATAGGGATGAAAATGCAAGTTCAGCCGACTTTACTACATATCATGTTACAAGCAAAAAGCCGGGGATCTTCTTGGAAATGGGAAGATCTAGGATAGGCGGAGCAGGGGATTGAAAGTCACTACCAGGTTCATAAGACGCAGTCAAATCTGAAATATGGGTTAATAAAAAGTTCCCAACAGAGATAGATTTTGTAAATCGACAGACAGATATGATTTTTAGATTCAATTTATAAGTTAAGGCAGCTTACCTGACGCTTATTCGAGTGTGTAAAATCGGGTACTTCTGCTCGTGCAAAATGTCCTGAAGAAAAGCAAAAAGCAGGGAACCTGAGCGCATCCGAAGAAAGCTCTTCAAGCTTCTCTTATATTATATTATAGAAAGGTTTGTAGAAAAGGGCTTCGGCCAAGACCCTATATTTGAGGAAGGATGACACGGGTCTCTCACTGAAGTTGGATAGAACTAGAAATCAATGTCGGAGAATGCACCTGGCTTTGCCCATTAACAAGGACTCGATTCTATGTCCAAACATCACGTCCATTCGTTGGGTGATCCCTTTCTCTCACGTTCGAGTGTTTGCTCGTCTTTTAGGCCCGTGAGTGAGATTCACGATCTTTCTACTCCCTTTGGGATGCTAGCTATGCTTCTCACGGCCCTCGAACTACGTCAATTGGAACCTAGACAGAAGAAGGGAATCGTAGCCTTCAAACTAACGTCTGAATATCTTGGTCCCCGATGGCCAGCGGGGGATTCGGTATAGCAGCTCACGTTCCTTTGCGCTGCGTTTTCCTGCTGGACTGGACACAGATTTTCTTTATGTCGAAGAATGGGACGCTACTCTAAGAGCAGTCCTAAAAAGGAATTTGGTTTCACAAAGATCTGTCTATCCGACAAATTCACCAGCGGTTCAGATCTAATGATCGGTTGCGTGTGGGTTATCCTATCGGCAGGGATATAACCATAGGAAAAAAAAATGAAGCGTAGGGACTTTTTCCACACGAAGTGTCAAATGTAGGGATATTTTATGATATGGGGCTTTATTAAAATATTTAAAAAAAAAAAAAAAAAACCTCTCCCCCCCCCCCCCCCCCCCCCCCAAAAATGGGACTGCCATCGTAGAAATGAAAAAACTCCGGCCAACCATCGCCCAAACCGTCGAACCTTTAAATCGTTGAACTATTTGTTGATGTTTTAAGACCATGAAGAGGAGGAGGCGCCTGGTGAGTATAGTCGATTGGTGTGTTGAAAATGACATGGGTTTCTCTAGAACAGGTTGTGCCGCCGGAGTTTGGCGACGGCATTTTGGAAATGTTATGGAGGTTCGACGGTTTGGGCGATGGTTTCTTTTAATAAGGTCTAATAGCACAAAACATCCATATGTTTGACATTTCTTGCGAAAAAAGTCAATATATTTCAATTGTTTTTGTATTTTCATCCTTATTTTCACATTTTATTGTAGAAAACGTTATTTTCATTAATTTGAAATGTATGGACGTCTTGCACACTGCAGGCCAAACGTAAGGACGTTTTGTGCTATTAGACATTTTAATAATTATGTGGACTCACTTACACTTTTTAAGACATTTAGGAGTAAGATTGTAATTTATTTATTTTTTTGTTTTATTTAAATAGAAGAATATTTTGGTTATTTTACATTAAAAAATTGTGAAAATGACGTTTTCTCCAATGAAACGTTGAAATAAGGGTGAAAATGCAACAAAAAATGAAATGTAAGGATATTTTTCGCAATAAGTGTCAAACGTATAGATCTTTTGCACTATTAACCCTTTATCTGTTTAAGGGTTTAATAAATGCCATTTTTTTTTATCGTGATTTTCAGATGATTTTACCCTTTTGACAAGAAATTGAACTCTATTCAAATTTGAATTCAAATAGTGTTATTTGACCCCAATCTTTTAAAACATTTATTTATTTATATATACTTTTTAGTATAAAATAATTTTACACTTAATTTCAAAATAAAAATATTATATTTTTACTCGCATATACTATTAAAAAAATCATTAGTTACAAAATTTATTCTTAAATACTGAGACTCAAATAGGGATTTCATGTATGAACAAGAGATTCAATATAGTATATACTACCATGTTGGATTGGGATGGGACGAAAGGATTGATACGAATCTATACTAATAAAGGAGCTGGTATATGTGATGTTTGATAGGTGATCAAATTAAATTAAATTATTATAAATTGTGAGTCTAATCAAATATGTAAATAATATGTTTGACTAGAAGCGATTATACATAATCACCTACCAAGTATACACTGATGTTCCGCTTTTCCAACAAATCAAGTTGACAGACTAAAGATTTCAATTCAAGTAATGCAATTTATGTGTACTGAGGATGATCATCAATCTTTGTGATAAGATCATATTAAATGGTGTTATCCTTAAGATAGAAAATTCATTTATAAAGTTCCTATGTGATTGAGGTGTTACTTTCATAGGACAAAAGTTCAATTTCACATATGAAACAATTATTTATAACTTTAAGTTATACATAATTCTATTTATCGATTCGATTGGTATACATAATAGTTATCGTGACTATATATTACAATTAATATCTTAGTAACATGATAACTATGATGTCAACTAAGATTAAATTGTTAATAAATAACTTAAAACATTTCATCTAAAAGTCTATGCAAAGTGTATTATGTCAGGTTGCAACACTAATAAGTAATTTACTTATCAAAATTAATTAGCTTCATGTCCACGGTAAATTCAAACTCATGCCCTTGACGAATTGCCTAATTCGACACTCAATGGGCTTTAATCGAATATGT